CACACACACAAAGAGAGGCTTATACAACCATACACACAAAGAGTACAACCACACACACAAAGAGAGGCTTGTACAAATACACACACAAAGAGAGTCTTATACAACCATACACACAATGATAGGCTTATACAACCACACACACAAACAGAGGCTTATACAAGTACACACACATAGAGAGACTTATAAAACCACACACACAAAGAGAGGCTTATACAAACATACATACAATATTATGTGAATTCCAAACAAACGATGACGAATGCATGTGTTAGTTTCCGACCGATGGGTGTGATACATGTTGCGCTAAGCACGGGTGTACTATATAAGAAGAGGTGTCGCGTGGGCTGTATTGGGTGCATGTTCAGAACACCCTCTAGATGCATAGGGTGTTCTCACCGCTCTCTACCAAACATACAAGCGTCTGTAAGTGTCTTTGTTCTGTTGTGAGTGCGTTGTCGGCACATTGCCACACACACACACTCATCGCAGATGCACTTACCGTCACTGTTCAACCCTCTACACTACTCATGGCAACGGGTCATACGCTTACGCGACTCATGGCAAACGTTTATATGACTGGATAACCGCAAACAGCAACAGCCTTCGAACGCTTTTGATCCGTGACTCCCACAGCAATGGTACGATCGACGATCGCTTGTATCGTAGTACTTTCTACGTACACATTCAAACTCATCCGAAAACCACTGTACATACCGTCCGTTGCACAGATCCACATTGAGAGCCTAAAAAAACTGGGCGAGGTTTTCATGACAGACATCTTCTCAGAGGAGACCATCGCCAAACAAGCGCTTCTTATCTCACCCACCACCTGTCTGAGTGCGCACGTGGGCGGCTACCTACCGGTGCACTGTGTGTACAGTCTGATGAATAGCGGGATAATACCGATATCAAATGCCAGTAAGGGCAAGACCCAGCCATACACGTGGTACACTCCCGCCAAAAATGTGTTTCTGCGGACGAACCCCACATCTACACAGAAGAGCAGTCGGCCTCAGGTGTGACGATAGTTTTGTGTGTGTATAAATGCGTAGACCTATTTATAG